TTAGTACAAAAAAAGTTTAGAACCTAATATATTTAAATAAGTTCCAGACAAACAATGCTCTGCATTTACCTAGTATTTATTCAATTAAGTTTGTATAGAACATTAGTTGTATACTACTATATATCAACCTAACAGTTATTTAAAAAAAAGCTTTTCCTTTTTACCCTAACAAAAACTTATACAGAAGATATTAAAATAGATAGTAAAAAGAAACTATTAAATAATACTCTTTAGAATATTGCTCTCTAAATATTTTTATAATATTTTTTTTTATTCTAATATTCTTGTAATATCTTTATTGTCTTTAAAACAAGTAAATCAATCCTTTTGCTAAACCTTATCTCTTGCTCTTCTTAAACCCTTATTTAATAAATACTGCCATAACAATATAAAAAATCTATATATAAGTATACTTATAAGCACAATTTTTAAAAAAAATTACTATAGTTCAACTGTACAGTATATTATATAGCATACTGTAATCTAATTGGACAATTATGCTTTAGCAACTGTTATCTTCGGCAACATGTATTTTTTTTAAAATACTTATATTTACTACTTCATACTTGAATTAAGACTATTTTTATATTTTAAAATAGAAGTTTATTAAACCTGCACTTCTACATTTAGAAAAATAAAATCAAAAGTTATAAAAAATTATTTTAGCGAGATAGTCACATGAAATGCAAATTTGCTAATCGTGATACAAATTGTAACCAGAATAGAATTCGTACCACCGAAATTACGTATTTGATTATAATACTTGATACAGGGGAAAACCATCAATTATTGTCGCCAGAGCAAATATCATTTGATCAATGGATCCAAGCTTATACCAGCAACAACGCCAACAACAGAACCGTGTTCCTTATCCATTTACCGGAAACCCCCAAGCAGGATTAGCTAATGTGATGGGTGCTGGTACGTATCCTCAACAATACATGACAAATATAACAAACAACCCAGGATACGTACAATCAAATACTGGCATCAATCCCATGATGTCCATTTCTGGTCGCCCAGTATACCCCGTACCAGTTGCCTCTTTGACTTCCATGACAACTAACGGTATGCCCGCTGCAAAACGAGTGGCTCTTGCACCAACACCACTAATGCAAAGTATATTTTCAAATATTGCACAAACCCCCGGCCAGAATCAGCTCTACACAGCTGGTGGTGGGTTTCCTAATCAGCAAATGATAAGTTCAGGAAGGCCAACAGTTCCTGCCCAGTCATTTGTAAATACTGATAATCAAAATATGGACGGAAAATCTTCAACATCGATGCACACGAATGCGTATGCAACTTCGATACAAAGTATTGATAAACATTATGGACAATTTCAGCAACAAACACCACCTAAGGCCAACACAATAGGAAATAATTTCAATAGCTTATTGAACCAAACGAAGACTACTCATCCTCAACAACAAAATCAAGCAATATCGAATCCTTTTATGCAAGATGATGGTCAAACGAATTGGTTGGAATTTGATGAAGAAGATTTCGTTTATGATTTTAGTTGTCCAACGGAGTTTTCTAACTCTTCTAGTGGCATTTGCGGAAACATATGGAATTCCAATTCGCCGCAAAGCAATTTGAATTATTCGTCACAAAATTCGTCAAAATCATATCCGTCAATTAACCAAAGTGGCCTTCAGCGATCCCCACAACAGCAACAGCATGATAATCAAGTACAGCAGCAACAGGTGACCGAACGGCCTCAACAACGACAGCAAACTCCACAACATCAGCAATCACAAACGCTGCAGATATCATCACAAGCACATCAACATCAGCAACAGCCATCTCATCGGGAAGACACTGGATACATTTTTTCTACTCACCCATCTCTTTCGGTTCAACCTAGTAGCATTTCTCAGAATTTGTCACCCAAAAGTGTTCAGCATAGTACGATGAGAATGCTTCCACGCTCCCCTAACCCTGCTATACCCGATTCCAATACACAGTCGTCAATATACGGTAATCAGAGTCAACCTGTTAACCCTACGAATTTAAGTCAAACGCAGGCTACAACGCAGATCGGACAATATTCTAAAATAAATCCTAAAGATCATTTAATTTCGAATACTACCATTACGGTTTTTCCTCAGTCGTCGACACAGTCTACAATATCAACAGAATTGTCGTCAACAACTAGCATTCATAATACTGTACTTGATCCTTATAAACAGTCATCACAAACAACAAATGATACTACATCATTAACATCAATGAAACCTAATCCTTTAATTGGTCATTTAGAATCTATGCAACGAATAACATCACAAGAAAATGCAAATGATTCTTCAATATTGCCAACAATAGAAAATCAGAATTCATACACATCAAATATACAAATGACTGTTGGATCAAGAAATAGCTCATCAAATAGTCCCAAAAATATTAATAATCATTCAGAGTCTACAAACTTTTCTAAACACCATCAAAACTCTCAAACATCCAACAACGAGCTACTTACTCAATCGGCAAATAATCATACGTCAAGTCCCAATGTGACTGATGATATGTTACAAAATTTGCGGTTACCAATTAGTAGTGGAATAGCTGGACGTAGAGCTGTTACCTCCCGTCAAGTATCACGACAATCCGAAAAAGCTCCTGCAGTCACTCACCCTACACCTACAACGTCAACGCAATCTTCTAGTTCAGCTTTACCAGCACAACCTTCAAAACAAGGACCTGTTAAACCTCAGAAGGTAAATTATGCACCAAAAACTCGACGCGTCGACAGCTATGGTGGTCTAGATCTTAGAGTTTTTGAGAAGTTTTCATTACCTTTAAACATACCCGGAATTCAAGATCTAGGTAAGGATAAATTTGTCACCTATAAATGTATTAGAAATAAGCTTGACGTTCGTTTTTCTTGTTATTAGGTGCAGTAGATGTACATGCACTTACGATGTCTCTGAAGTGCGGAATGAAACTTGAAGTTACAAGTGCTCTAAACACGTTAACAACACTCTCGTGTTACAAGAATTTAATAATAGATCTGAAACAGTGTGGGGATTTGATGGATATTTTACTTGATATGATTTTAGAATATATAGACTCTGTAACTCCATCATGTAGTGAGGAAACCACGGAAGAAAGCTCTATATCATCACGAAAATTTATAAAATACCAGAAATTATATCAATTATCCAGACAAGAATGTGATGAATTTGTGGACGTTGCAACGGACAATTCAAATATAGTAAACGAATGGTTATCATTACACGAGCAATGCTGGTGTATAACTAATTTGATAAGAAATTTTTCATTCATGTTCGAGAATCAAGAATGCCTAGCAACACACCCTAAATTATTAACCGTGCTAATGTGTGTCCTGTACATAGGTGAAGATGATGATTTCCTTCTTGGAGTCAATGAGAAAGTAAAAGCAGACAGAGATACTAAAGATAATCGAATCAGAATAACCCGTAAAAAAGCTTATGATATTCTAGAGTTACGAAAAAGCGTTATCATCATATTATCAAATATTGCGGCATATCTTACTTTACCATCAATTTATGTTGCAAGAGATCTTTTGGTCGTAATTGCAGATTTTTTAGACAACACAGATGATTATTATGCTCAAGTTGCGCTGGAAGTATTTGCAAAGATTTCCGTTTCATATGAGAATCGACAACGGATCGGTGGTTGTGATGAATCTACGTTAACTACGGTTTTAGAACGATTGGTACGAATGTTGCCACAGGGTGGTGTGATCACGCGTCCGTCGGTGCAAGAATTACCGTATCTGGCAATGTTGGTGATGTCATTTTTTAATTTTGCGTGTTTAAGCGGGGAAGTAATGAGGAAAAAAATGATCTCCACTCCAGGATTTATAAACAGGATGCTTAAAATGTCGATAACATTAGCAAGTGTGCGGGATAATCGTATCGGAAATAATGATGATGATTGTATTATGCTAGCAAGGAGAACTATGGAAATGCTTAAAATATTGGCAAAAGGGAATGAAGAATGCTTTCTTGTATATACTGAACAATTATTGTTCGCATTATTAACTCCATATATAGATCCTATTGTGGTGAAGGATCTGGAAACTGTTATTTATCCCGGTGATATATGATTATGTGATGATCTGCACGGTTGTTATGGACTAGATCTTACAGAGATTTGTTTTATTCGAGAATTAGATTTATTTTTGTTTATAAGTTTTACTTGTTACACTTTGATTCTCTTACTCTGTGTATGTACGATTGAATTAATCGACATTCTCATGTGTAATTTTTAAGCTTTCTTTTTCCTTTTTGTCTATTTTTGGTCTTTTTGTATAATAACAAAAAAAAGTTTCATTATTTACGTAGAAACTCTAAAACTCATAATTTATTTTTTTTTGTATATTGATCGATTGTTGAGAATTTTTCACGCATTAAAAATTCCCGGGATTTCAACCGTGAATTTTGGATTGACAAGCACAAGCAAAGACCGTTTGAAATTAAAATTCGTTTAACGTTATTTTTTTCGCGGGGAAAAAAATTAAACATAGCGTACCGGAAAATCCAGAAAATATGCCGAAAAATTCCGGCGGCCACGCTGGTTATTATATCGATCAATCTGTCACTTCTATTTGTTGAATTTTTGGGGGATCCCAGGAGACGGAGAGGGGATAACGTTAAACGAAAATCAATTTCAAATGGCATAATTTACCTAACGCTAACCTAGTATTAATGTCGATTAACACTACTTCGCCTTAAATGTCTCCTGGAATAGTGAATTACTTTATCGTTATCGTCAATATTTAGGACATCATACAGTGCGGACAACCTAGTCCCAACCAATAAAAATTTTTAGTGGCCAAATTCAGATTTTATTTTATATATATATATAAAGGGATTAATCATTTTGTAACCGTAGTGGTAGGTTACTGTAATCCGTAACTAAGATCAGGTGTAACGTGACTATCAAAGCAACTTTTTTATAAGAATAAAACCGTGCAATTAAGGTTAGGGTTAGTGTGAGGCTAGAGTTTAGAGGTTATAGTTTATTAAAATTTAGCAAGGAATTTTTTTTTGTTAGAACCTGAAAGGTAGTTTTCTATGTGAAATTTTAAGTTAGCGAATGTTTGTTTTGACTCTTCTCAAATGTGTAACGTTACACCTGATCTTAGAATTTGATTGGTTGATTGGGATGTGGTTACAGTAACCATTGATTACAAATTTATTAACTCATATATAAAGAGGCCAATTTGAAAATTTAGCTAATATTTTATGATATGTTTGTTGTCCTGTTATGTTGATTTAGAAAATAAACAAAGCTGACTGTTTTGGTGTATATAATATTGATCTTTTGAAAAGATTAAACTAAATTACAAAATTTCTTCAAAAAAAAGTGGTGAGCCAACAAGAGTATATAAGGTTCAATACTTTGATTTAATATTTTAAAATAGTATTTATTATTATTATTATTTATTTAAACTAGACTTTTGAGACTAAGGCTTTATTTAAATATTGTTGAGTAGGAGCTTATAGCTATTAATCTCAAAAGAACTTTATATTAAAAAGTATATACTAGCTATATATATACTTTTAGTGTTTAATTTAAATAGTCTGTTTACAATTTTTATATTATATCACTCGATACTGTATCTGTAATCCAACTACAGATATTATTTATTTAAACTCTCTGTAACAAACTTTACTTATATTACTAGTATATTTTTATTATATTTGTTAGTCAAGAAGTTCTGGATTTTTAACTTATTCTTTATAAAACTACTTTATCCTTAAAGCATTGTTATTAGAGCTTTTTATATTTACAATCTGGTTAACCTAAACTTCAATAACTTATACTGAGTTTTAAAATAAGTACTTTCAAGCTAAAGTTACTACTATTACCTATTTCTGTCTTTGCAAAGTTTATTTAAATCCTAATATATATTTTATAAACTATATATTATACTTTTGGTTATTTCAAACTTCTAATTCAGATAGCACAGAAAAGTAATTCTTTTTTCTAGTTATCTATTGGTCTAGTTGATGTAGTGCTTATTAAATACTTCAGTTTTATTCAGTTTTCTGGTTTCTCAAATAATAATTCTTTACATAGTATTATCAAAATTTTGAACTACTTTTCTATTCAGGTCTTGTTAAGCAGGTTTTCATATTTCAATCTGTTGGTTTACTTGGCAGCTTTATTTGAATTTTGTATAGCTTATACATCATACTAATATTTCATTGCCTTCTATTACAAGCTAATATGATTCTATTATAGGTGCTAACCAATAGGATATAGTCTTTCAAATATATTCTATAAATTTAAACTTTATTATCAGTAGAATTCAAACTCTTGATCTGCTACTTGGTGATGTGACAACTTACCAACTTCCACAAGTAAAATGATGTTTAATAAGGATTGCTAAATTTAGCTTTATTAGTATCCTATTGCTTACGAATTTTGGCATGAAAAGAGGTCAATAGGAAATCAATAGAGTTATCTGATTATTGCTAAATTTAATATATTGATTTTATATTAATATTGAAATTAAAATTTGCAATAATCAAGCAACTCTATTGATTCTCTATTAACCTCTTTTTGTGCCAAAATTTATAAGCAATATGAAGTTAATAGATTTAAGTTTTATAATAATTAGGTAACTATATTAATTCTCTATTAAATAGCATTTTACTTGTGTTTATTAAATCACTATATCTTTGATAGTATTTTTGTTTACTATTTTTTAAAAAAGGATTAACAATTTAAATTTCATCAATTTTATTGATTAAGATTAGGTTGTTTGCACTATAGAACAAAATTATATTATTTTTTAATGCATTCTACATTAAATAAAAAATGGTTTTTTCATCTAACTCTAACTTTAATTCTTATTATACTAGGAACCGGAAACTGGTTTAAGTTCAGAGCTCATTATTGTCATCTTACACAAATATATAAATGTGTATAATTTTGTTTACACAATATACAAATATAGACATGCGGCATTATAGACAGAAAATACTAAAACTACTTTTTTGATTTTTTTATTATAAATGCATCAAAATCATAATTTCAGTCATCAAAGTGCATAGAAGTATGAGTCCTCTGCTTCACTCCAAACAATAAAATATCTAAAAATATCTAAAGTTATAATAAGAATATTTAAAAATTTGTAAAAAAAATTATAATATTATAGCTTTAGATGTATTATACAAAGCTATAATTTTTTTTTTTTTCAAAATGCAAATTGGCATACTTTATTTGATAGATATTATAATTACAAGTAGTAGAGTTTATCTATTTATAATTATATATTAATGTTTAGGAAACTAACTAGTTTTTTCTTTGTTTTGTTTTCTCGTGTCTTGTTTAAGACTCTGAGACTTTTTTGGATTCTAGATACTGTGATGTAATCAACTATATCCTCTGAAATACTGTTGTTACTCCACTTGACTTGTGTATACCACAACCAAATCTCATAGATAATTGTAATATGAAGCCATATCGCTGTTGTTTTTTTCTCCTAATTTCTAATATTTGAAACTGTAAAGACCTTGTCTAGTGTTAGAGAGGGAATTTCCTCTTCTGGGTTCTTAAAGAATTTGTATCCTTTATTCCAAATTGTTTGACTAATTGCGCAGTCTATTGCAAAATATTTAATTGTTTGTCTTTCATAAGGGCAATTTGGACAACTTTCATCTATTTCTCTTCTAATATGCATTAGCCGATATCCTAGAGGAAGGACTTGATTCTGCAATCTCCAGAAGATATCTTTCTTTTTATTTAGGATTCTTTTACTCATAACCCATTGAAAATGCTTAGAGAGTCCTTCTTGAATGTTTGCTGGTATCTGTGCAGCTGTTGGTTGTACTGAGTATTGTTTCAAATATTCAGTTGCTCTTTTAACTATAAAATTGTTGCCCAGTTGTTCGTAAATTTCTAGCTAGGTAGTATTTCATAGCCATTCATGTGTAGCTGTTATTTTTTCTTTAAGCCTTTTTCAGGCTATCAGATATAGCTTCTAGTTATCAGACCACCTCTTAAGCTTGATTGGAGATCTAGTTAAGGCTGTCACTACTAAGATATTTCTTTTGTTACGAAGCCTTTGAGAGATTATTTCCCTTTCAATTTTGGCCCATGCATTATTTGAGGTTACTAGTTTAACCCAGACCGATATTAATCTAGAGTTAAAAATGTCTTTGAGAACTAGAGCATCAAGCCTCCCTCTATTGTAATCCAATTGAAATGTCAAATATCTGAGTAGTAGCTTAGATTTGTCCTTAATCTATTGTGAGATAAGATTGTTAATTTTGTTTAATTGCTTTCTTTTTGGTGGAAGAAGGTATGTTAAATACCAAATTTTTGAGATGAACAGAGTCTTTGCCAACAGAATTTTCCCTTTAAAGGAGAGATTTCTTGCTGCGATCTTTTTGATTCTGTTTTTAATATTTTGAGTGAAATCTTCCCACAGATGTTTCTTGGCTACTCCTTTGGTGTTTACTTTATATCCCAGAATTCTGAGCAGTGTTTTATTATAAGCCACTTTAAAGTGCTCTTGATTCAGCAAATTAGTTGATTGTGCAGCACCTGAAATAGGCACCAAGATAGACTTCTTCTTGTTGATTTTTGAGTTTGTAGCCATTTCATATCTTTGTAAAAATGAAAGGAGTGTTTTCTAATCTGAGTGTGAGCCGATTCTTATAGTTAGATCATCAGCATATACTATAGCTTTAAATTGCTGTTGCGTAACTTGAATTCTCCCTATTTCTTCCTGAATTTTAAGAATTAGTGGATTGAGAACTAATATATATAGTAGTGAAGACAAAGGGTCGCTCTGTCAGACTCCTCTTTCTACCTTTATAGGCTTTAGTATAAAATTAGAGTCTGTAATATATGCTGTTTGTGAGCTAAAGGAAGAGCTGATAATATTGATAAACTTTGAATAAAAGTTCATCTTACAAAGCTATAATTCATCAAGAAGATATGATTTAAAAAATATAATAAAATTTAATATAGCTTTATATGTATCAAAACACAAATTTTTTGGAAAAACAAAAAACAAAATCAACAGAACTCAAGAACAGCACTAAGAAACAAAGCTTACACATCTAAGTAAAAAAGAAGAAGATATAAAACAACACTTTGTCTCTTAGGAGACTATAGTTAAGAAGTCGAAATCTATCAAGATATAGAAGGAAAACTTGAAAATATAGCAGTTTTTTAATGTTTGTAAGCAATTTTTTGAGGAAAGCACTTGACTCTATAGTGCAGATCTGTTGATGTGACACAACTATGCAACACGTAACAAAAGAAAAATAGTACAAACATGTAAAGCAGCATGTGATGAAGACAGCAAAAAAAACAACAACAATAGAGAAGCCAAGTCACATGAAGCAAACTAAAAAAGAAACTTTTAGAATTAATCGAAACCTATAAATTTTAGCAGCTGTAAGATATGTATTAGAGAATCCATTAGAGAAATTAGAAAAGACAAGCTAGAAGAATACAAACAAAAATATAGAAAACAATATAAAAAAGACACAGAAGAAGAATTAGATTACAGGTATCGTAACTATATTGTAAAGGACAAAATAGAAGCTTTTCTACCAAACATTATAGAAGAAGATCTTTATATATTAGATGCTATAATAAATTATTTGCTAATAGTAAAGGAACAATATGAGAAAAGACTAGAAAAACAGTGTATAAAAAATCTTAACAAATGGAGAAAAGACAAACAAGTTAAGAAAAACAAGAAAATGATACAAGAACTGGCTAGAAAATTTAAGTTCAAAGCAAAGAAAATACTTAGAAAATTGGCAAGAAGGAAGAAAGAAAATCAGAAATGGCTAATAAAGACAGAAGTAAAGAGAACTATAGGGAAGGATATAGAAAGTATTAAAATGAAGTAAGTCTTGGAAAGAATT